CTTCTTACCGGCTCCCAGAGCTTATCGAGATCTTGTCTGCTCCCAGAGCTTGACGAGATCTTCTTACCGGCTCCCAGAGCTTGACGAATCTTCTTTCCGGCTCCCAGAGCTTAACGAGATCTTCTTACGTGGTTCTTAGATCTTTTACCGGCTCCCAGAGCTTAACGAGATTTTCTTAACGGCTCCCAGTGCTCAACGAGATCTTCTTATGTGGTTCTTAGAGCTTAATGAGATCTTCTTAGTGGCTTCCAGAGCTTAGCGAGATCTTCTTACCGGCTCACAGAGCTTGACGAGATCCTCTTACCGACTAACAGAGCTTAACGAGATCTTCTTACGTGGTTCTTAGAGCTTAACGAGATCTTCTCACCTGCTCCTAGAGCTTCACGAGATCTTCTTAGAGACTCCCAGAGCTTAACGAGATCTTTTTTACCGGCTCCAAGAGCTTAACGAGATCCTCTTACCGACACACAGAGCTAAACGAGATCTTCTTACGTGGTTCTTAGAGCTTAACGAGATCTTCTCACCTGCTCCCAGAGCTTCACGAGATCTTCTTACCAGCTCCAAGAGCTTGATGAGATCTTCTTACCGGCTCCCAGATCTTAAGGAGATTTTCTTACCGTCTCCCACATCTTAACTACATCTTCTTACATGCTCCCAGAGCTTAACGAGATCTTCTTACCGGCTCCAGAGCTTAACGAGATCTCCTTACTGGCTCCCAGAGCTTAACGAGATGTTCTTACCCACGCCCAGAGCTTAACGAGATCTTACCAGCTCCCAGTGCTTGACGAGATCTCATTACCGGCTCCCAAATTTTAACGAGATCTTACGTGGTTCTTAGAGCTTAACGAAATGTTCTTATCGGCTCCCAGAGCATCACGAGATCTTCTTACCTGCTCCCAGAGCTTAACGAGATCTTCTTACGTGATTCTTAGAGCTTAACGAGATCTTATCGGCCCCAGAGCTTAACGAGATTCTTAGTGGTTCTTAGAGCTTAACGAGATCTTACCTGCTCCCAGAGCTTGACGAGATCTTCTTACCGGTTCCCATATCTTAACGAGATCTTAACGGCTCCCAGAGCTTGACGAGATCTTCTTACCGGCTGACAGAGCTTAACGAGATCTTCTCACCCGCTCCCAGAGCTTAACGTGAACTTCTTACGTGGTTCTTAGAGCTTAACGAAATCTTTTTACCTACTCCCAGAGCTTAACGAGATCTTCTTACCGGCTCCCAGAGATTAACGATATCTTCTTACCCGCTCACAGAGCTTAAAGAGATCCTCTTACCGACTCACAGAGCTTAACGAGATCTCCTTATCGGCTTCCAGAGCTTAACGAGATCTCCTTATCGGCTTCCAGGGCTTAACGAGATCTTACCAGCTCCCAGAGCTTAACGAGATCTTACCAGCTCCCAGAGCTTAACGAGATCATCTTACAGACTCCCAGACCTTAACCAGATCTTCTTACTGACTCTCAAAAAAAAATTTTGCTTAGAGTTTATTTTGTGATCGGTAATTGAAGAAACTGAAAGACAACAGCAATAACCAATTGATCAGCCTAAGACGTCGAAAATACAAAAACGTTCAGGTATTAAAGTAAAATTGAATTCTCACTGTTGATTTTCACATCTATTTGAAATTGAATTTCTATATAATATCATTGATATATTGTTATTGTAAATTCATCAGTTTTTCATCATTGAAATCTATGCGCTGAAAACATTGAATTGGGTAGGGATTGAATGGGTTTAATATTGTGGTGATTTGACTTTTAATAGATTAGTGAGGAACATCCCTCGTATGAGATATCCTCTTGGCTCTCTGTCTAGGGGTACGTTATTTGAGCCAAATTACCACACAGACATAACGCCTATCTATTTACATATAGTATAGACCGAAACGAAGTCTCAGGTAAAGGATAAATAACTGAGTATTTATTGAATAATAATATTTACAAAATCCTCCTTTGTACACTCCTGGTACTTATCATATAATCATCAAACGGATTTTATCCCAATTAGAAATGTATATTACTGCAAAGCAAGTGTCCCTAACATACAAGCGGTATCATAAAAATGCTAAATTTTGCTCAAGTTCTATGCTCAATCTTGGTGGACTTATCCTTTATAGTCCTAGTGATGATCTCGGTGGATCACACAGTGAGGGAGTTCCTTCAGTTCTAGAAGCGTGTCCCTGTTCCGGCCTTCGTAGCTGTTCTAGGGGTAGCGAAGTCGGAGTTCCCGGTCGTAGAATCCGTGGAATGTCTGCGATGGGGAAAATGACTCTCCCGCGATGAATCGTGGTAGCGAGAGTCACTGGAAATCGAAGTCCTTTTGGTAGCTGACAGGTAGTTTGGTGTAGGATGTAGATCAATCCCCTAGCGTCAGCTCAAGGTAAGACGGTCCAGTAATGGAAACCAGGCTAAAGGCAAAAATATACAAAAACGGATAAGTATCCAAGCGAATAGCCATAAGCTGATAAGTCCCGTTGCACTAGCAACAAATTCAGATCGATGTATGGAAGGTGACATAGCTCGTGCATATACATCCAAATTGTGGATGGGATTATAAGTCTGATCATTGTCGGCGTAAGCAGATCTTGCTTCACGACAATGTTGGACCAAGCAAACATTTTAATTAATAAAGTATGGGACATGGTAGTATTAACAATCATTAAAATTATAGGTACATGATATTTATATTGTCATTTTAAAAGAGACATGTGTACTTTAGAGTAACACCTACCATTCCCATGATGGAATGGCGGTGGGTCGTAGCACGCGGCAAAATCAATAATATAATTCATAATATCAGTATATATGAATATAGGCATTATCAGGATAAGATCAAACACGAACGAATAATATTAATACATTGGCAATAAGATGATACCAAAATCATGGTTGCGTACTTACTAGTACTCTAGGTAGCAGTCGCAGTTAAGTATCTCGCTAGTGAAGTACTAAGTCCAGTCACTTCAAGCGTTCACAATTGAGTGATCAGATCTTAAAAGACGTGTACTTGCTAAGTCCTAGGTTGCAGTTATGTATCACGCTAGAGAAGTCCTAAGCCCAGATCCTTCCGGCGTTCACCGTCAAGTGATCAGATCATAAAATACAGATTCTTGCTTGTTCAGGCTATTTATTCGAGTTGGGTGGCGATTAGGTGATGATTCAATTGGGCGATTCAAATGTTGTACGTTTTTCCATCCAATGACAATTACTTTCGATGTTGCGGGTTTGACCTTCTACCCTCAAGGTTTTTCGGGGTGAGGTGAAAATCCAAATTCACGCTTTTGCGTGAGCAATCTGGTTCAGAAAGGCAATAACAACGAAGGGGCGCTACTCCGCTTTGCTGTCTCCAGGGCAGAAATGAGGGGGGGTGACGGTATTAATTTCCTCAAGGTTTTTCGGTGGGATGGGTTGACCGCAAATTGCACGCTCTGGAGGTGAGCGAACTGAGGCAGGAATGCGATATCACAAGGGAACTCACTCATGCTAAGCGACTGCGGGGCAAAAGATAGGGAGGGAATGGTATTATATTACAGGGCATTCAAAGGCGTATTTGCGGGGAAAGAAATTTATAAAGTCCAGCTCCAAATCATCACAAATATACATCTATCTGTATTTAGCTCGGGTCCTTTGAACCCTTGCTACGTCACGGCTTATAATTGATCACCTGACTTTGGACCATGTCCCTTGAGGTTTTAGTAAAATAAAATATTTATATTTTAAAATAATTATTGCTATTCACAGGCTGCAAACTAAAGATGATAATCTATGACATATTTGTATTGTTACTTGCCTTTTTATTTCTCTTTTCCATTTTAAAGGACAGTAACCACAGTATTGAAATCGTTGGTAAGTTGAATTCGTATGTCATAAGAGAGCAACATTTACAGATGATTATATGTCATATGAGAGGGAGCATTTTAAGACGATTTGTATGTCATATGAGAGTGAGCATTTTAAGACGATTTGTATGTCATATGAGAGTGAGCATTTTAAGATGATTTGTATGTCATATGAGAGTGAGCATTTTAAGATGATTTGTATGTCATATGAGAGTGAGCATTTTAAGATGATTTGTATGTCATATGAGAGTGAGCATTTTAAGATGATTTGTATGTCATATGAGAGTGAGCATTTTAAGATGATTTGTATGCCATATGAGAGTGAGCATTTTAAGATGATTTGTATTGTTTCGAGGTTTTCTAAAACAGAAACCACGATACTAATGGACAATTAATAAGGCAAGTGGTTAGATCGTACTCCTAAGATTGAGAATGGTTTTATGAAGGCTTAAGTACAACTGGTTTTTAATACTTTTTTTTTTGTAATTCAAAACAATATTTTGGTATGTTTTTCTTCAAATTGTTTTGGTGGTTCAGGCGAGTGTGAAGCCATTCTTACCTTTCTTCTAAGCTCACTAATTTGAAACATTCAGGATTGAAGCTATCAGAGATATGAAAATGCACTGAATTGTAAAATTCAGAATTGATGCTACCAGAGATATGAAAATGCACTGAATTGTGACATTCAGAATTGACGTTACCAGAGATATGAAAATGCACTGAATTGTGACAACTAAAGAAGGGCGTTTAGGCGCAGTCAAAGTTATTAATTTGTTTTAAGTTCATAAATCCAACTGAAGGACATCATTTTTAGGTCGGTGAGATTTAACAGAGAGCTATGAGTTCTTATTTGACGGCGAGATTTAACGGATAGCAATGAGTTCTTATTTGACGGCGAGATTTAACGGATAGCAATGAGTTCTTATTTGACGGTGAGATTTAGCGGATAGCAATGAGTTCTTATTTGACGGTGAGATTTAACGGATAGCAATGAGTTCTTATTTGACGGTGAGATTTAACGGATAGCAATGAGTTCTTATTTGACGGTGAGATTTAACAGAGAGCTATGAGTTCTTATTTGACGATATTATGAAAATAAGACGCTGCCAATATTTCAGACAACGACCCTGAGTTTCTAGTCGGCGTCAAGGGGATCGAGAAGCCGCTCTGCTTCCACATTGATGGGGAGGTCAATCAGGTGGTACGCCTGCTGCAGGACCCGGCGACTGGTAAGGCGAATTGGGGACAGGAGTGTCGGGGGTTTGTATTGAATGGACTCGGCTAACGAACCCCAAACAATAAACAGAACAGATGCTTAGGTGGAGGTGGGACAAATTTATTCCAGATAAAGTTAAAATGTTTAAATAAGTTTAGTTTAAATTATCACGGTGCTTGGAGTGGAGGCGTTGTCTAGTGTAGTGCATCCACGCCTGAACATTTTAATGGAAATAACTGAGGAGGATTTAAAGTTGTTTTTTAACAAATAAAGTAAATTTCAGTCAAAAGTATTTAGTGAAAAGTAAAATTCAGTAAAAGTATTTTCTAAAAATAAAATTCAGTACAAAATATTTTTAAAAAAGTAAAATTCAGCACACACCATTTTTTTAATGTAACATTCTGTAGAAAATATTTTGAAGCACTGATAGTATGATCATTATAATTGCAGAAAATGTTGCCTTAAGTAAATAATATCTCATTAAGTTAGTTTTACATCTAAGTCTCTCCTACTCTCCCCTTTCCGCAAATCATCTCTCCCCCCCTCCCCCCCCCTCCCAGGTATCATCGTTAATGCCCGGGTATTCCACGACGACCTGACGAACAAAACCTACCTCGGCGCCATCATGATCTCACAGGGAAGTTTCCGCATCATTGCCAAGCAGCGCTACGTCATGGTCAACGAGGCCAAGCTAGAGTGGGACGAGGTCAACATCTTGCAGATCCTAGGTCACCGGGTGGGCGTCGGAGAGGACATGTTGGCGGTAACCTTCCGGAAGCGCAACATCACCCTGGTCATTAGACGCCACGTAGCCACGCCCACCGATGAGATCGACTACGAGGAAGTCGACAATGAAGAGGCGAAAAACGTTCCCCCCATCTCGGGCCGAGAAAACGGGAGTGAAGAAAATACCGGCAATACCGGTGAGCCACGAGGAGGGTTCTCGGGAGTGAACGAGGGCTACGATCGTGCAAACATTTTGCCTGTAATTGGGTTTGAAGAGAGGGACTCCATCGTTAACAGGGTGATGTCTTCGAAGAGACGCCGAGGGCTGATATTGCAGAACTTTCTCGGGATCAATCAAGATCAAACGTTTGTGAGAAACTTGATCGTTGAGGTAGACGGGCACGGTCGAAAGAAAAGGGAAGCCACCTCTGAAGCGGAGACAACACAGGGAGGAGTGGTCAATTTTGGGAATAATGTGCATAAGGGAAGTCGGACAGAAGGAGAAGAGTTCAATAATAAGAAAACCCAAGAAAGGCGTGAAGAGGTGATCGTGCAAGACGAGAAGTGGCATTTCATGGTCAACAGAAATCAAGGGTCTGATGCTCAGACACGGCTGCTTGTTGAAACAGACAGCTTTCCGGGCAGCCTCGTCGACGACGTGCCGAAGAATCATCAACGACGCCGCCATGTTCCTTCACAACGGAAGCGTCACGAGAGAACTTCCGGTCGAAAACAGAGAGATGTCGATGAGGACTATACACTGGATGACACCACTTTACCTGAAGGGGAAAAGAGAAAGGGACAGACGGTATTCTTGGGCTTATACATCGCTGATGCTAGAGATTTGTCCAACAAGACGCACGGACTTCTGGGTAGGAAATGTGTTTGAAATAAAATAATTGTTCAAGAAATATGCACGTTTATATGAAGTTAGAGTAGCACAATTTGAATGCTTAAAATAGAAACTTACATTTAAAAAAAGTTTTGGAACTTTTCAAGAAAAAAAATAAGAAAGAATTTTTTTTAAATATTTAAATACATTTTCTTGGTTCCGGTATGGATACGGATAGCGGCTCCGTTGTTTAATTTTTTTTTACATTTGTTAGGAAATTTATTCCGGACTTCATCGTACTCGAGCTTCATTTTAAAATCCAGAGCAAGCATTAAATTGAAACAATTCCCCTATTTTAAGAAACATGCTTGGAAATATGATGAGCATTGGTTGTGGGTGTAAAAAACAAATAATAAGTTTTCAATTTATAACGTTAGACGATAAGAAGAAATATTAATTTTAATAATAATTAAAAACTTATTTGACAAAAAGAATAGCTTAATGTATCATATTTTATTGACACAATCGTCAGTGAATCTGCGACATAACTTTGGAACTACGGACCGACTGAAAGTCTTAGTGATTTTCTGATTTTGGGCGAAACCGAAACCAGACCGAAAGTTAAAATGACTTTTGGCCGAAACCGAAGCCGAAACCAAAACCTTAACGAGACTTTCGGCCGAAGCCGAAACCGAAAAATTTAAATGTTTTGAAACTAATTCGCGCATCCGTTCTGTGTACATCGAAAACTGATGGATGGAAATTATCGATATTTTCATTCTTCTCATCAAAATGAGATTATCGTGAATATTAATAGATAAACATGCATACTTTGGCATTTGAATTAAAAAGTAATTTAAAATTGTTAAAATGTATCTTAAATTATAAAGGTAAGCTAAAATTTGACTGGGGAGGGGGCCAAATGCATGCAAGTAGGTCTTTGGATGCCCTTTGCTTTTATAATACAATTACAATGGTACCTATAAGTATATTTGGTATCGATTGAAAGCTTAGCCTATGCATTTTTTTTTATTAGTAAAGCCCTCTGAAATGTCCAGACATAAGCCTTGATAAAAGAGCACCGATTCAGCGCCGATGAAAACATTAAAATCAAGCATGTAGTGTGCACGTCCGTCACTGTAGCCACATTTGAATGCCAGAGAAGACTGGACAATGGGACATCCATATATAATATACGCAAAAACAATATAGTTTCATACCCTCTCCCACTCCCACACCCTGCCAATGTATGGGGCAGTCCATATATTCCATATACGCACAGAGGATGAGTATGGCAGTGGGGGGCCGTGGTGACGAGATTGTACCTACATGTATGCATAAATTCCACAATAGTTATCCTGACAGTCTCTAATAGAGCCAACTATCATCTAAAAAATAGTTAAATCCATGATTTCTTAGTAGGCCTATAAAAACCACAACAATCTTTCGCGGTTATTTCAAAGAAACTTAGCTAGATATAGCTGTATTAATATTTAGATATAGCATGTAGTATCTAATATATATCTACAATTGATCCAAACAGGTCAGTTTCTCTTCAAAAACGTCTCCCTGGAGAAGATCACGTACAGAAACGGCCGAATGAAGGCCAGGCTTCTCATCAACGGAAACCCTAGCCGAAGGACGATCGCATTCGTCACGCTCCGTCGCAATCTGGCGCTGAACGCCACGCGAGCGTGTTGGAAGATACGCCAGCAGGGCCGTGACGTCATCGACGGAAACTACTCAAACTACCTGGTCTCCAACATCCGGTACAGCAACTTGAAGGATCTGCCGCCGCCGTTATGACTAGGCGCGGTCCCCGAAACGGGGCCAGTCTTTGAAGACGACAGAGGCGAGGACGACATCTGGGACAGGAAGCAGACGTTGGGCGAATCGGACGACCGAAGGATCGTGGAGTTAAACGTCACTGACCAGGCCATCAAAGGAGGTGACGAGCCCCCCACCTCATCCACCACTCTCTCCCCGCTGATGATGTACCCCACGTGCGTGTACGAGACGCACCACAGGACGCACTTTCACCTACACGCCGAGACGGATATCAACAAAAAGACGTAGCACTAAGCTTTGACACTCGTGGAAATCCGATTTTTCTGTTGTTTCGTTTCTTCGTTCCTGTTTTTTGTCTTTTTCTAGGCATCGATTTCAAGGAACTGTTTCACCAATCTGTGCTTTGGATTAGGCGAGAAAAATGGGACCAATCATTTTTTATTTTAAATATATATTTTTTTTAAGTACTTCCTAGAAATTAGGGGATATTTGTAGAGGCAGTTGTAAGAGTTTCCCTGAAATGTGTCATGTCCATGACTTCTGTCTTGTGACTCTTTTTTATTATTTTACTTGTGCCATTTGAATGACGTCCAACCAGAGACTAGGACTTTTCTTTCTCTCTAAAAAGAACAACAAAAAACGTTCATTACAAGGCCACTAGCCCACAACACCTGAAAGAAACGAGTCGGCTGCAATGCAAGAAAATCGTTGACTAGTTGTCTTATTCTGCGAGGGGCTGATAACGGGTACTTTTCTAATCGACTCGGTCACGCACTTTCATATTTAGACGACTGGGGTCAAAGGTCGGTGATCAGTTTGAAATAACCTTTTCTCCCGAGGGTCATAGAGTGTTATGATGTACAAGTTAAGCTTTCTCATACTGGCCACCATGGGACATTACGATTGAGACGAATGTCCAGGAGTCGGTCATCTAAGTGTCAGGTCATTTGAGTGTCAGGTCATCTAAGTGTCAGGTCATTTGAGTGTCTGTCTGCGTGGTGGACGGAGAAGAGACATAATCAGTACAACGAATATTAAAATAAGTGTAGATATATCTTGATTTTAAACTGATCAAATAAAACTTAATGAAAAACGCGTAGACTCTTTCATGAGGTCACTACAACATGGGGCAAAGCAGCACTATGCGCTGTATTTCTTGGTTGTTACTTAACTGGACTTCTGGCTCTGTAGCAGGGAAGAATGGTTTGGCGGTGGCACAGTGAGAGGGTTATCTCGAAGCAAGAACCATGAAATAGAAAGTTATAATGATAGGCCTCAAACAGGCTTTAGCTTTGGACGCCCTAGTAGAAACACTATCTGCGAACTAAGAATGTGTTGCATTGGGGGGGGGGGGTAGCGGGGCTCCCATTGGGTGCAGGCTTGGACCATTCGGTGCTACACATTTCTACGTTGTTAGTAACTCTAGAACGTTTGCTTTTTAGCATCTTTTACATGCGCGCCTTTCTCTCTCTCTCTCTCTCTCTCTTTCTATATCTGTATCACACACTCTTTCTCTTTCCTTCTCTCTCTCTCTCTCTATATATATATATATATATATCTATATCTATATATATATATATCTATCTGGGTCTGTTTTTCTTTCTGTCCCTCTACGTGTCCCCCCCCCC